AAATTGAAAACAAGGAATCTAAAGCTATTTATACATTGAAAGAGGAGAAAATAGCGCAGGAAGAAGGAGAACATCATGCAGCAGTTGCGACAATTATATGGAAATCCATAGCTTTCGGCAAACATGCAAGAGACACACAATGAGCAGGCAACGTGGATGGTGGCATGTTGTCTTATTGGATTTGAGCCACAAAAAGTTTATTTCTAACAATCTCCACCTTGGATCAAATCCACTATGGGAATTAACAACTGGAACAGTCGACTAAACTCAAATACTGTTTGAACTTAACAATAGGGAGAACTTCAGAATAGCAGGATGGATCACCATCAACTTCCTATGCGACTGAAAGAGCATAAGCAACCAAGTTGTTTTCATCATCACTAGCATACCTAGCAGGTTTTTTAATTGTCCTCCTAGGACGATCCATAGTAATGGAATACTCTCGTTGTGGCTCGACGAGAGGTGCGGTGCTAGTAGATGCATCATCTTTAGTATTACCATCAGTAGTAGTAACACTATCAATAGGCCTGAACTCAAAGTCCACCTTATCACCAGTACTCTGCGTCTCACCTGTACTGGAATCTTTTCCAGAAGAAAGTAGTGCATTTTCGTCAAAAGTGATATCTCGACTCAGAATGATTTTCTGAGAATCAGGAGACCATAGACGATACCCTTTTGACTCAGAGGCTTAACCAAGGAAAATGCATTTGACAGCTCTCGGGTTTAATTTACCCGTACTAGAATGAGCATAAGCAGGACATCCAAAAACTCTTAAGATAGAGTAGTCAACAGGATTACCTGACCAAACTTCCTCTGGAATTTTGAAATCAAGGGATGAATGTGGAGATCTATTTACCAAATAGCAAGCAGTAGAAACAGCCTCGGCCCAAAAATCACGCCGTTTCCATAACCCAGCATTAGAGAGCATACTACGAGCTCTTTCCAATAGAGTCCTGTTCAAACGTTCAGCAACACCATTCTGCTGGGGTTTACCAGGCAATGTCTTGTGCCTGGCAATTCCATTTGCCGCGCAAAAGTCATTGAAATCTGACTCACAGAACTCCAAGCCATTGTCTGTCCTGAGCTTCTTGACTTTTTTACCTGTCTGAGTCTCAACAAGTATTTTCCACGTCTTGAAAATAGAAAATGCTTGATTTTTATGTTTCAGGAAATAGACCCAGACTTTACGAGAATAGTCATCAATAATAGACATAAAATATCTACAGCCTCCCATAGACTGAAATTTAGTTGGTCCCCATAAATCAGAATGTATGTATTCCAATACATCTTTGGTACGGTGTGTAGCAGTAGAGAAACTAACCCTCTTTTGTTTCCCAAAAATACAATGTTCACGAAATTGTAATTTACCCGTACCTGAACCACGAAGGAGACCTTTCTTGCTCAGGAGATGCATGCCTTTCTCACTCATATGCCCCAGAGATTCCAAGGTGCCCAATGATATCAGATTGCGTTTCAAATCAGGAATATACCGAACATTGGTATGAGTCCTGACAACGTTATCATGAGTTTTAATCTGAACACTTCCAATTCCACTAACCTTGCATTGGGTATCATTACCCAACAAGACAACTCCACCATCAACCGGTTCCAGAGAAATGAACCAATCTTTGTGGGGACACATGTGGAATGTACTACCAGAGTCCAAAATCCACTCGGTTTCACTCCGTTTCTCACCGGAGCTAACAGATAACAACACATCACCATCTGAATCACTTTCAACAACACTAGCTTCAGCAGACTTCTTTTCTCTCTCTTGCTTGTTTTTCAACATGAAGCATTCAGTCACATCATGACCATGCTTCTTGCAGTACTTACAGGATTTGTTGGACTTATGTCCTTTGGACTTGGATCTAGAATTTTTATTGCTACTCCCTGATTCAAGTGAACGACCCCTTACAGTCAAGCCTTCACCTTTGTCCCCGGACTTAATTTCAAAGTCAAACTTTTCTTTGGACAATAGGTTTGACTTAACATTGTCAAAAGTAAGGGTATCACTACTATTACCATACAGCATAATTTCTTTGAAATGCTTGTATGATTTAGGGAGAGAAACAAGCAATAAAACAGCACGATCCTCATCGTCAATTATGACATCAATATTTTCCAAGTCCAATAAAATAGAATTGAATTCATCTAAGTGAGATTTAATAGAAGTACCTTCCGTCATACGGATTGTGTACATACGCTCCTTCAGGCGTAGCGTATTCGCCAGAGTTTTGGCCATGTAAAGCGCATCCAGCTTGGACCATAAATCTGACGCAGTCGTCTCACTTACTACCTCACGCAGAACTTCTTTAGACAGGCACAAAAGAATGGTTGAACGTGCCTTGTCATCCAAATCTTCCCAAGTTTCATCTGTCATTGCAGCCGGTTTCTTCTTCTTCCCAGCTAGCGCTTTCTTCAAACCGTTCTGGGTTAGAACGGCTTCCATCTGAACCTTCCAGATAGAAAAGCTAATTTTCCCGTCGAACTTCTCGATATCAAACTTGGTAACAGTCGACATCTTTAAAAATAACTCTCAATTAAACCGCTCTGATACCACTTGTTAGGAATATAGCGGAATAATGCGGAAGCGAAGAATCGAAAATTGAGAATTATAGAAGTTAAATAATAGAGAAAATATATAATTTTCTTCATTTATATATTTTCCCTATTATTTAACTTCTATAATTCTCAATTTTCGATTCTTCGCTTCCGCATTATTCCGCTATATTCCTAACAATTCTTTTGTAGGTTATTAAGACGATATAAAGGAATGAATTCCATGGCACCTCAAGGTTGTTTACGTTAGCCTATCTTGTTCTTTGCGGAAAATGGTGTGGGATGAGCTCATCGCAAAAAAAAAAAAAAAAAAAAAAAAAAAAAAAAAAAAAAGAAGAAGAAGAAGAAGATTACTGGTCCATTTTTAGCAGTTGCTAATTTTAATGGCATCTTGTGTAGAGAGGAAACTAGTAATCATGCAACCTTTTCTGATCAACGTTGTGCAAATGTTGTTGAACGGATTTTTGAGTAAGGTCTTATTGATATGGGTTATGCGGGATAACTTTAACATAATTGAGAGGCTCTAATCTACTTCTGAAAGTTGCAAAGGCATAAGAAGAATATCAAGAAATTGATGATTCATCACTCTGATACATTAAAGAAGCCAAAGGTGTTGGGCATTTCAAATGATCAATCAATTCAAAATAAGTTTATAAGCTTTGTTTGGTTAGCAGTTATAGAATTCGAATTCTATCAAATACTAAAAAGGGAGTGACTCCAAACTAGAACTTGAGTGATGGCAAACGTTCATCTTGAGTTGCTAACTTTGCCATCAGATTCATGTTGCTGAAATGAAGATTTTGGCAATTAAGGCACTTTTGAGCTGCATATCATCAGACCAATTAGTCTTATATAATTAAGAACTATATAATTAAGACTGTCTCACAACGAGACCTAAAATACTTTTAATTAAAATATATTACTTTTTATGAATCTATAGAACAATATATTACATTTTAACTAAAAAATATATCACATCTCAGGTGAGAAGGTCTTACACAAGACTCACTGCACTAACATATACTGCTTCTTAGGCATGATTGAGTAAACATATCAACACTGCTCACTGTTCACCATCTTTCTCCAGTAGTAGTAGTTTTATGTCAACAATATAATTTGATTTTATCAGTGAAAATGCACTCAAATTATCAATGAGAAGGATGAACACTCATACATAGTATTGATCTGAATCAATCAAAAGGCTTCAATTACCCTTTTTCGTGGTTTCACATTCTTTTATCAAACTAGAAAGCCACAACTAGTGATACTATGCAAGAATTAATGAGATGAATAAATATGCTAAATGTATATGGAATATACATGTAAATGATGCATTGGCGAAGTTGGAAACCCACACTACAAACCTAAAACTAATTCAACACTGCACGTCTGCAAAACCCCACCTCACCAGAAGAGATGACAAATAGAGCTAGGTTGTAGATTTAGAAGCTATGCATTAATGGAGAAGAGAGATGACAAATAGAGCAGTGTTGCATTAGTTTTAGGTTTGTTATTCTATCGTTTTGATTAATGGATTGGTGTTAAGGTTTGTAAGTGTACAAAATAGTACACATTAGATTGGCTAATTTATTAGTTTATTTTATTAATTTGTAATGCTAATTAGTATGAGTCGTAATTAGTGTTATTGGACCAAGCTAAAATGTGTGGTGGAGATTTCATTCTAATGAATTAGACAAAGAGCACGTCTGAAGATCTCAAATTAAGGAATGAGTGGTTGAGAAGAATTCAAGCCACATATGAAGCTACAATCAAGGCTGCTTGGTGGAATGGGAATTGCGTACAGTATATAAGGAAGGGAAAACGAAAGAGGAAATTGCCAATTCTGAAATTCTGATCTCATATGCAAGCTTCCTATATTACTGCTTTAATATTGATTATATTATTTGTGATTAAAATCTGTACTTCAAATCAGTACCTGTGACAGCTGAAGTGCTACACCAAAGATGGTTATGGCATGCACGGTTTAGTCCTGAGTAGGTGTTTTAGAAAGAGTTGTAGTGGTAAAAGGCTGTGAGCCGTTGTAGTTACCTCTTGTAATACTCTATGGTGAACATCTAGTGGATTGGGCAGACGTGGGTTGCCCCGCAGACGTAGGAGAAAGAGCTCCGAACTGCGTAACAATTCTATTGTGTCTTTACTTTGTTTATGCTTTCAATTTCATTATTTATACGTTGATCAAATTGATTTAATTAAACAGCGAAATTGTCTCGTAACATAAAATCAAGTAGAATCCTTAGTGTTAAATTGATTTCGAGATACACGGGCTTTTTCAATTGGTATCAGAGCCTCCAAACTTAAGTTATTAGTCTGACGATCTGGCTACTCCGTGCCCCTTGATCTCAATCCTTCAGCGGTTAGTATTATTATTTCTGATTCTGATAAATTGTTCGATCTCACGGGTTATTGAGTGTTACAGAATGGAGCACACTAAAGCTCTTCCCCAGCTAGTCGGTGACAACTATGCGTATTGGAAGGTGCGCACACGCACTCATCTCAAAGCACAAGGTGAACCAGTATGGTGTATCATTGTAACAGGCTGGGAACATCCAACCAAAGCCAGTACCAGTGAGGATGAAACTCGAGTGACGAAACCTGAAAATGAATGGACCCAAGCTGAGAAAACAAGTGCTGGACACAACGATAAGGCACTAGATATTATTTATGGGCTAATTCATGAAAGTCAATTTCCTATTGTTGCAGGCCATGATTCAGCTAAAGGCGCATGGGAAGCACTAGAGGCTACCTACGAAGGCACATCGTCGGTAAAACAATCGAAACTGCAACTGGTACAGTCAGACTTCGAGGAGCTCCGGATGAACGAAAATGAAACCATCGTGACTTTTCACACTCGTGTGCAAGAGCTAGCAAATCGAGCTATGGTCCTCGGAGAACTGTTCACTCAAGAAAAGTTTGTGAAAAAAATTCTACGATCACTACCACCTCGGTCCCGGATGAAAGTTACAGCAATCCAGGAACATGACAACTGGGAGAAAAAAACTGTAACACAACTAATGGGGAATCTAAGAACTTATGAGATGAAAATCTTAACAGATCACAAAAAAAAAAAAAAAAAACAAAAACAAAAAACAGTAGCATTCACCGCTGAAGAAAATAATTGTGCACCTGACTTAGATGAAATAGGTGATGATCCAGTTGTATTTCTTACTAAACAGTTTTCAAAACTTTTGAAACAGGTATCAAAAGGTTCACGAAACAAGAATATGCAAAAGGGGGCGTCATCGTCTAAAACGAGTTCTAAATCCGGATCATCAACCTTCAAGTCCTCTGGTTCACGACCAGGACAGTCCAAAGAGAAATCCACCAGTAAAGGGATCCGATGCTATGAATGTGAGGGCTTCGGACATGTACAAGCAGAGTGCCCCACCTATTTTCGACTCAAGAAATCCATGTCAGCAGTTACTTGGAGTGATGATGACTCGGACGGTGAAACAGGAGGATCTGATTCAGACGAAATTTCTGGTAATTTTGTTGCCTTTACTGCACATATGGCTGCTGGACCGTGTCATGAAGATGTTGCTGACTCGGAGGGAGGCGAGTATACCTCTGCAGAAGATTTAGAATCAAGTGAATCATCTTTTGAAATTGAGTTTAACAAGTTGTATCCCAAATGGGAAGCACTAAGAAAAGAAAATCGTAGATTAACTACTGAAATAGGGATTGTAACAACTGCAAAGAAAGTGTATCAAACTCAAATAGCCGATAGGGATCTGCTTCTTAAAGAGGCATTGGCCCGAGAAGAAAAACTGAAACAAGAGATACAGACTCTGAAGCAGGAGCTGAACACCTACAAACGCCAAATCCAAATGATGGATACCACGTCTACACTTGATGAGATCCTTGAGTCTGGAAGAAAGACTTCTGCAAAGTTTGGTCTAGGTTTCACAGGAAACAACTCAAAAGACAAAATGGTGTTTGTCAAAGCGTCAGGCCCTGGTCAAGGAGATATTCCAGAATCTAGCACAGCGACGCATCGCGTTGGTACAGTAAGATCACTCAAGCCATATTATAAATCCTATAATCTGGTTTGTCATTATTGCAGGTTACGGGGTCATACCAGACCCGAATGCTACTACTTCTACAAGGATCAAAGAATCGAGAAGTTCAAACACAAGAACATCCAACCCTTTACAAGACAAATCTAGGTTAAAAAGACAGATTATATCTCATTCGTATCTTTCCACTCTAAAAGTACAGGTCGAGAAGAAAAATGGTACTTCGATAGCGGGTGTTCACGTCACATGGCAGGAAATGCTAAATTTCTGAGTAATGTAAATACAAGCAAAGGTGAAGTTACCTTTGGCGACGGTATAAAAGGACAAGTCACTGGTATAGGCACGCTAAATGTAGTTGGTATGTGACCAGAACTGGAACGTGAGCTTCACCAAAAATAACTGCAGTGTTCTAGACAAAACAAATCAATGCGTTATGGAAGGTACAAGGTCAACTGATAATTGCTATATTCTCACTAACAATGTTTTGTGTTGCAGGATCAATATAGATGATACTGAGCTTTGGCACCAAAACTAGGACATCTAAGTTACAGACTTCTTGACAAACTTGTAAAGATTGAAGGTGTTCGTGGATTACCCAAGCTGAAAGTCAAACCAACCATATGTGGTGCATGTCAAGCAGGAAAGCAAACCAAATCCTCTCATCTAGCGCAACACACCATAAACACAAGTCACTGCTTGGAACTGATCCACATGGATCTCATTGGTCCAACTCAAACAGAAAGTGTTGGAGGTAAGAAATACATACTAGTTTGCGTAGATGATTATTCTCGTTTTTCTTGGGTTACCTTCCTCAGGGACAAGTCTGAAACCCTCGAAGCCTTCAAAACTCTGGCATTGAAACTTCAAAAAGAAAGAAATGAACCCATCATTCGAATCCGAAGTGATCACGGACGAGAATTCGACAACAATCTGTTCGATACCTTCTGCAACCAAACAGGAATCACACATGAATACTCAGCACCGAAAACACCTCAACAAAACGGAGTTGTTGAACGGAAGAACCGCACAATTCAAGAAATGGGACGAGTTCTGCTTAATGCCAAAGGACTACCTCAAAAATTTTGGGCAGAAGCTGTGAACACTGCATGTCACTTCATCAATCGGGTCTATCTACGTCCAGGCACGAATCAGACTCCGTATACATTATGGAAGGGTAAGAAACCAAACATTAAATATTTTCATGTTTTCGGATCACGCTGTTTTATCTTGAAGGATCGAAACCCTGTCGCAAAGTTTGAATCAAAAAGCGATGAAGGCATCTTCCTCGGCTATTCAACAAACAGCAGGGCATATCGTGTATACAACAAAGTTACCAAAACCATCATGGACTCCACAAATGTTATAATCGATGATCAACCGAGCGATATTATCACAACGTCTCCGTCTGGACAAATGACAGAACCTGACACGAGTTGTCCTGAACCTAATCCAGAGTCTCCTATGCCATCTTCCACATCAACTCAACCTGAGCAAGAAACCGAGTCTGAGTCTGAACCTGACACTGATCATGGTAACATTGATATTCCTACTCGCATCCAGAAAGCTCATCCAATACAAAACGTAATTGGAGATCCCAGTTCCGGCGTATAAACGAGAGGTAAACCGAAACGCGATTATCTTCAATTAGCAGGATACTCTTGTTATACTTCGCAGATCGAACCGAAGAATATCAAAGAAGCTCTAACAGGCGAACACTGGATCAAAGCCATGCAAGAAGAACTGAGGCAGTTCGAACGAAATAAGGTATGGTCTCTAATTCCTAAACCTGACAATGTTAATGTTGTAGGTACCAAATGGATCTTTTGCAACAAAACCGATGCGGCTGGCAACATCACTAGAAATAAAGCGCGGCTTGTAGCCTAAGGATACTCCCAAATTGAAGGAATCGACTACGACGAAACATTTGCCCCTGTTGCACGGCTAGAGTCAATACGACTACTTCTCTCGATTGCCTGTGCCCTAAAATTCAAGTTGTTTCAGATGGACGTTAAAACAACCTTCTTAAATGGTTATCTCTCGAAAGATATATACGTTGCTCAGCCAAAAGGGTTTGAAGATCCACATCATCCAGACTATGTCTATAAATTACAAAAGGTTCTCTATGGATTAAAACAGGCCCCAAGAGCCTGGTATGAGAGACTTACTCAATATCTTCTTCAGAACAACTACAAAAGAGGAGGATCAGACAAAACGTTATTTATAAAACGATCAGGTAAACACATAACAATTGCTCAAGTGTATGTAGATGATATCGTTTTTGGATCCACACAACCAGGAGAGACAGATCAGCTAGTCAAGGTAATGCAACAGGAGTTTGAAATGAGCATGATAGGTGAACTAACCTATTTTCTTGGATTACAAGTGAGCCAAACTAAAGAAGGAATTTTTATTTCACAAGAAAAATATGTGAAAAATCTTCTATCCAAATTTGGGCTTGAATCTGCAAAAGATGCTTGTACTCCTATATCTACGACTTCAAAATTGTTCAAAGATGAAAAAGAAACGTTTGTAGACTCTACTATGTACAGAAGTATGATAGGCAGTCTACTATACCTAACACCTAGTCGGCCAGATATTATGGTAAGTGTTGGGATGTGTGCACGCTATCAAGCCGATCCAAAAGAGTCACACTTAAAGGCGGTAAAACATATTATAAAATACGTTAAAGGTACGATAAATTATGGTATTTGGTACTCGAACGATACTAATCTGAATCTTGCAGGATACAATGATGCTGACTGGGCAGGAAATGCTGACGACAGAAAAAGTACATCAGGCGGATGTTTCTTTATCGGAAAAAATCTAGTCGCCTGGCTAAGTAAAAAGCAGAACACGATTTCACTCAGCACAGCTGAAGCTGAGTATATAGCGGCGGGTAGTTGTTGTACACAATTACTCTGGATGCATCAGATGTTAACTGACTATGGTATAGAACAACAAAGTATGACATTGTTATGTGACAACACCAGCGCAATCAACATCTCTAAAAATCCAGTCCAACACTCCAAGACAAAACACATAGACATTCAACACCACTTTATTCGTGAGCTAGTTGAAGAGAAAGAAATTATCTTGGAATATACTCCAACAGATAAAAATCTTGCGGATCTATTCACCAAGCCGTTAGACAAATCGAGATTTGAACTGCTTAGAGCTGCCCTTGGTGTTTGCAATCCTACAGTTTAATCATCAACACCAGGTACAACAAATAATCTCTAATTAATTTTCTTTAACGTAGTGTTGTTTATTTGTTGCAGGAAATTTCTAAAAACTCTCCAACTTAGTTTTAATTCTTCTCGCCCATATACCTGCTTATTTCCTTAACCGGCTTGGCTACCTTATTTATCTATATATTAATTCCACCATTACATAATGTGTATTGAAATATTAATTTCAAACAACTTCCACCTCTTTCTCCTAGTATGACTCTACTTCTACCCCTACAAACTAGTCACATCACTCATCCCATCCATCACAACTTTTGAGAAGCTCATTAATTAAAAGCCTTCTTGTCTTTCTTGCTCTTACACGTCAAACCCACACCATTCATCTTCATCTTTACCACACTCAAACATCGAACCTTCAACAATGGAAGACGACAACCCTTTCGCCATTTTCACAACCAAATCCGAAAGATTGGAGCTTTTCCGCCACATCATCAACGCTGAATCTCCGCTTACATCTGATGATACGAATCGAGTTCTCGCAACGATCAAGCACCATGCAAGCCTTCTTGAAGGACTCTCGGACAAGGAAATCAGACAGATCCAAGCTCTAGCTAGGTTCATATCTGTGAAGTCGTGGACTTTTCCGGCCGAATCAACCAAGCCGCCTCCGCCACAATCTGAGTTCGTTCAGGTCTCATCCCCGGAAACTATGGTAGTATCTTCACCTTTAGATGAATCTGTTTCTGCTTCTAGAAAATTAAATTTCAACATCCCTTTGCCGAATCAGTTTGTGCCTGTCTCTAGTGATGTGTGTGCCCCTTCCTTTCTTTTACAAGGAGATCCGTATGATTCTTCACATAAATTGCCTGAAAATCTTGTGCCTTTATCTGATTTTGTGCATACTGTGACCACACCATTCTCCATTCGAAATATCAACCAATTTGTGTCTCTCATGACTTATGCTGCTTTTTCTATCCCCATAACTATACCAGTCCCATCTTCAACAGTAGAGGCTCCCATTCCTGTATCCACCTCTCATGACACTGTCCCTATGATCTCTGTGCCCGTGAGCAAATCTTCCCGAAAAGGGAAAGAAAAACTTATTGTTTCAGGTACAGCTGGGAAAAGAAAAATTGGAGCTTTGGAGGATGTTGTCTGCTTGTCAGATTCCAAGCAATCAAAAAGAGGGCCCACATTGCCACCCAGAATGACAAGGTCCAGATCAGTTTCAAGCCCAGTACCAAGTCCGGCCCCTGCATCAGCAGCTGCTACTGTCCCCTCTAGCTCAAAGATGAAACAACCTGATGGGTGTTGAATCCATCAATTATAAATTACTTACTCTCAGGAACTGCAATAGTGATGAGTAAGGTCGTACCCTCAGAGATTGGTTAGACTTATTTTAACAAAAGACTTAAACAAGAATGGGACGAGAATTGAAACTTAATTAGCAAAAATAAGTTGACAAATAATATCAAATCTAAAATAATAATAATAATCAATAGCAACTAGTATCCAACTCAAGACATAATATCAATTTAATTCTAACAAGACAGATCATTGATTTCAAGACAAAATTACTCTACTCTTACCAAATTGGTTATGGTTATTAACAAGCTCTAACAACCTATCTTTCCTCACTTTGTCGGTAATCAAAACAGGCTCTTTGATTACTTCCCCAGTTAATAAACAACCCTAAATAGGCTCTTAGGATTTAATTTACTAACAGCATTAAAAGAATTAGAAAGACTACCAACTCTAGCCAACAAACTCGCAAGCACGATTCATTTAAGCTAGATTATACATCTCCATAACTTAGATTGAAAATCTATATTATAATCAACTATGTTATTTTACCACTAAGGTTTAGAATACTTTAACAATTACGGATTCAAGCATTCTAAATAGCAATTTACTGAATTGAAAATTGAACAACGAATTCTTTTTGTACAATTAATCAAAGCAGTAATAACAAGATAATAGAAGACATATAAACAATAAGAAGTAAAGATTAATTAAGCTAAATAAATCTCACTGGACTTGAAGAATCAAATATCAATAATCTCTTGAATTGGAAAATTCGAACTCAGTAGTACATTGCAAAAGTGTTTCCAGAATAAAATAAAATTATTCTAAAAACTGACTTCCTTCTACTGAAAAATCCAGCCCTATTTATACTAGTTCAGGATCCCAAATAACAGCCCTAATTTTCCTAACATCCACAAATAAAATCAATTTCTTCAACCACATAAAACTTAGAAAATAAATAATCTTTATTTTCCTAAATGCTAAGAAACAATAGAAAATCAGTAGAACAAGCTCCAACCTCTGCTTCAATGTAATTTTGTCCGTTCATGGCAGCAATTTGCGGTCGAAATTCCTTCGCAAATGACGCAGACGGAAGCTTCGCCAGTTCACAGACGGTCACTACAGTTAGTGGACAGAATTCGCAAATGGAGTCTTCTTCGCAGTCGCCGAAGTTGCCGCAGTCGCCCGAGGAATTCGAAGAAGAAAAAGTCTTGCGTGGCTTCGCCGATTCTGCTGTCTACGTACAGGGCCAAAGAAACCAAAAGAAAGAAAAAGAAGAAATAAGCTAAATGAGGCTTGGGCTGCTGTTTAAAACAATTAAAACATTTAGTTGGGCTAACTAATTAAACAAACAAAAAGAACAAATAGTGTTTAGCCCACTTTAATCCCATATAACTCAAGTCCAAAATCATCTTTAAGCTTAATTATTTAAATAATTAACATATTAGTTCAAAATATAAAATAATGTTCAAAATCAATGTAATATTAAATAAATAAAATTAATTTATTATAAAGACTAATCTAAATTAAATATAAAAATAGTGCTTATCACAACCCAAGAAGAAATATCACCCTATTTTACTGTCTCCGGATTTGATGTCTGACTGGAGTGTTCATGCTACTAGGGATTTTATTCTGGAGAAATCCATCAATGTGGAAGAGTTGACAGAAAAATGCAACATTGTGCCTATTTTGCGAGATGAATACCTGTTTGCCTCACTTGTTCATGTTGGCCCGTCCAGATGGCTCACTGCCGAGTTCTACACGAATTTAACATTGGATACTTTTTCGGAGGGGTCACCTCGATTTCAACAAGTTTTTATTCGGGATAAATGGTATCCCTTAAGTCCGGCCGTGATTAATTCATATTTGGGTACTCCAAATCATCAAGCTGCTCCTGACCCGAGTCCTAATCTCCTAGCTGCTGCTTTAACTCACAACAAAGTCGTCACTTGGCCAAACACCAGACTCGAAAGCCTAAAGCTCACCACGGTCTGCTCTGTTCTTTTACGGCTTGCTTCAACAAATTGGATGCCGGCTGTGCGTCATCATCTTGTGTCTGACCAGCTTGCTGCTCTTCTCTACAAGATCAGTAACCGACTCCCTATCAATCTTGGAGATTTCATCTTTGGCCATCTTGCTCAATTTGTGCAACATAGGGAACCTAAGGTACATCTACCGTTTCCTAGTCTAATTTTCGGGCTTCTACAGGAACATGGGTTCAAGCCCTACACAGATGAGGTGGTGATTGCTAATGCCTCAGTCTATAAATATGATGATCGTTTGACAAATAAAGATCACTATGATGATAGAGCTACGCTTTTGATCACTCCCGACGCACCAACTACCACGCCCTCTGTGTCTGCCCCTGCATCATCCGCTGACACTGCCTCCGCACCGAATCCCCGTCCTAAGACAGTGATCAAGGAACCTCAGACGCTCATGGATCGCTGTCAAATTGTTCTCACTCTTCAAGCGTCAATTGCTCAAGTTCGCACATCGGTTGCTTCTCAACAAATAATCATTGATGGCTTAGAAAAGTTGTTGGGTGCTCAGTTGGAAGAAATAGCCAGAATGGAGGTCATCTATGCTCGGATTCGATCTAATACTGGCGCTGGCACTGGTTCTATTTCTGAGAGCGATGAATCTGAGTCGGGCACCCCGTCTGCGAATTAATCCAATCCACTAGTATGATGTTCACCGGTTTGTTTGTCATTTATTTGGCAAAAACAAAGGGGGAGTATTGGAGAAAGGGGGAGTATGGATGTTTGTTTGGTAAGTTTTTTGTTTTTGGTATACATTGGTATGGATGTTAATCCTTGGTTCGGATGCTATTAATAATTTGGTATGACTATAAATATTTTTGGTATGACTATGAGTGTCTTAAGTATGAATGTCTTTGTATTTTTGGTATGTTGACTGCATAGTATGAATTGGTTCTATTTGGAATGCATATGAAGAAAGGAAAGCTCCAAGTTAGGGGGAGTAATTCAATTACAGTATAGAAAGCGTGACATATATGGTATGTTTGGTACAACACTCCTTCGTTCATGATTCACTATTTATTAATTGGATGAAGTATGTGAGTCAACATCAACTAAGGTCCAAAATAAAATCCCACACACAAATAAGCTTTGGTCTGGTCTTAAGAGAATTTAATTTCACGTTTGTTTTCTTTATATGTTCAGTACATATACTATGGGATGTTAATAAAATATTCATTCCTTTTCCCAAAGTATAATGATACTATTGTTTTACCAAATAAATTGCCAAAGGGGGAGATTGTAAGTGTACAAAATAGTACACATTAGATTGGCTAATTTATTAGTTTATTTTATTAATTTGTAATGCTAATTAGTATGATTCGTAATTAGTGTTATTGGACCAAGCTAAAATGTGTGGTGGAGATTTCATTCTAATGAATTAGACAAAGAGCAAGTCTGAAGATCTCAAATTAAGGAATGAGTGGTTGAGAAGAATTCAAGCCACATATGAAGCTACAATCAAGGCTTGGTGGAATGGGAATTGCGTACAGTATATAAGGAAGGGAAAACGAAAGAGGAAATTGCCAATTCTGAAATTCTGATCTCATATGCAAGCTTCCTATATTACTGCTTTAATATTGATTATATTATTTGTGATTTAAATCTGTACTTCAAATCAGTACTTGTGACAGCTGAAGTGCTACACCAAAGATGGTTATGGCATGCACGGTTCATTCCTGAGTAGGTGTTTTAGAAGAGTTGTAGTGGTAAAAGGCTGTGAGCAGTTGTAGTTACCTCTTGTAATACTCTGTGGTGAACATCTAGTGGATTGGGCAGACGTGGGTTGCCCCGCAGACGTAGGAGAAGGAGCTCCGAACTGCGTAACAATTCTACTGTGTCTTTACTTTGTTTATGCTTTCAATTTCGTTATTTATATGTTGATCAAATTGATTTAAAAATTGTCTCGTAACATAAAATCAAGTAGAATCCTTAGTGTTAAATTGATTTCGAGATACACGGGCTTTTTCAAGGTTGTTGGTTTTAGAGAGGGAATTTGGGTATTCTAGAATAATTCGAGGATTATTACTATTAACTTCACCATTCCACATGCAATTTATTCTTTTGTAGATAAAGACGATATAAAGGAACCATGACACCTCAAGGTTGTTTATGGTAGCCTATCTTGTTCTTTGCGCAAAAGGGTGTAGATGAGCTCAACGCAAAAAAGAATAATAATAAAATAATAAAAAAAGAAGAAGATTGCAGGTCCTTTTTAGCAGTTGATGAGTTTAATGCCATCACGTGTAGAGAAGAAACTAGTAATCATGCAACTTTCTCGGATCAACGATATATGTGCAATGTTCGTCTTGGGTTGCCAACTTTGCTATCAGATTCATGTTGCTGAAATGAAGATATTTTGGCAAATAAGGCACTTTTAACTGCACATCAGACCAAATAGTCTTATATAATTAAAATCGTCTCACAATGAGACCTAAAATACTTTTAATTAAAATATAATACTTTTTTATGAATCTATAGAAAAATATATTACATTTTAACAAAAAAATATTACACATCACACTTGAGTAGGTCTTACACAAGACATACTACACCAACCATAGACGGAGCCAGAGGGGGGGCAGGGGGTCAGCTGCACCCCCCCCCCCCTCACCCCACCTCACCCCTACCCTATATTGTATATAATATGTATATATAGTACATTATTCATATAAATATTATAAAACAGATTATGTAAGCAAAAGCTGTGATAGACAAGGTGGTAGCTAATGTATATGAGTATTGGAATAGTCTGGGTTTGAGTCTTTGCATTGATAATGTCAGTCTTCTTTACTTTTTTGATTAACACAATTAAATTTTGGCATGATATATATAACTTCCATTATAACTTTCTTTATATTAATAATGGAATGTGTAATTTATAATGTGTTTTATATTCGAATTGTTTTATCAAATTAATTATGTTTCATATTTTGTTATAAATATTTATAAAGTTCTAATATGTTTTATTTTTCGCTATATCCAACAATATTTATTGTTATACTTCTTAAGTATTTCATTTTTTTTAAAACTTTCTCTTTTATTTTAATTTTTTTCCCTCACTAAAAAAAAATTCTGAATCCGCCATTGAATCCATTCCTACTTCTTTGCCCCCCCTCAACATATTTTCTGGCTCCGTCCCTGGCACCAACATATACGGCTTCTTAGGCATGATAGAGTAAACATATCAACACTGCTCACTGTTCACCATCTTTCTCCAGTAGTTTTATGTCCACAATTTGATTTTATTAGTGAAAATGCACTCAAATTATCGATGAGAAGGATGAACACTATTGGTCTGAATCAATCTTTCAATTAACCTTTTTCATGGCTTCACATTCTTTTATCAAACTAGGAAGCCACAGCTAGTGATAATATGCAATAATTAAAGTGATGAAAAAATATGGACGCCGAGTATACATATATTAGTACAAGGTGAAACCTGACACCAAACCAATTACAGATCTTGATTCATTACACACAGACACAGACACACACATATATTAATATATATAGTTAATTACCGAAATGATCCATTTACTATAGCGAAATTACCATTTTGGACATTGACTATTTTTTTTTAACCAATTAAGTCCCTCAACTTTAAAAATCTTATCAAATTTAGTCATTCGTTTGTTTTTCCGTTAGATATTCATTAACTCGGGACCAAATGGGTAATTTTGCTATAGTAAAGGGACCATTTCAGTCATCACATGGATCATTTTCTTCGAAAAGTTAATTACTAAAATGGTCCCTTGACTATACCGAAATTATCAATTTGGTCCCGAGTTAACGGATGTCTAACGAAAAAAAAAAACGAGAGACCAAATTGGTTAAGATATAGATATATATTTATCAATTAATCACTCATCTGGAAAAAACAATTTCACATTATAAATGAATTATTATATATATAAAAATTTAGTGTCTTATACATAGACAAGAAATTAAATATTTATAAACGCACTTATATTAGACAAATAAAAAAATTTCTGATGAAGAAGAGTTTGATCGATAAAAGGAATGGAAATACTAATAATATCTCAAGGCTAGCAAAGAAATAAAAATCATAACATCCAATTTATATATATTAACGAGATATAAATTATATAAAGGTTATACCCATCATATTAAAATCCTAATTCGATTGAAATTGGCTTATCATACTAAAATTCTAACTGATTTAAGATTAACTTAGGATTTTCTAATCATACTAAAATCAGTAAACATAATAACTAGCTAATACTCTATAAACCCTTCATCATTCTATAATTTTCTTCATCATTCTATAATCTTCTTTCATCATTCTACAAGTTATTCATATAATAATTTATCAGGTTTACTAAGGTTGCAATGCTGATTTGGTTGTATTGTCTTTTTCTACAAGCATCAACTTTATATTATTTATATTATTTCAAAAATGGCAACTTTAGAATCCTATTCAGGTTTATGGCTTTCATTACAGCTTTTCAGCTTATCTTGATTATCCTTTACTCATTGTTTAACCTCATTCTTGAATGGATCAACAATGAATCCATTGATGATGATGATGATGATGATGATGATGTTGCTGATGTTGCTGATGATGATAGCGATGATAATGATGACGATGATTTCGGTGACAATGACGACGATGACAATGATGATGATAGCGGTGACGACGATGACGATGATAACAGCGACAACGATGATGATCATAGCGATGACAATGACGACGATGATAGCGGTGACAAAGACACCAATGACAATGATGATGATAGCGGTGACGACGATGATGATGATAGCGGTGACAATGATGATGCCAATAGTGACGATGGTGATGATGGTGATAATAGTGCCGGGTGGGTAAAACTTAAAATTGAAGGTGAAAAATATGAGTAAAATGGTTCTATTGTATAACTACTCTTTGTTTTTTTAAAAAAAAATTAATATTCATATATATAATTAGAAATTATTAGTCTTGTATTGATTATATTAATAATAGATAGATTTTATCGGACATATTGTAATATGTAAATTGAATAAATCAAGAATGATTCACTCTTCAGATCTGTATGCCTTAATCACCTCTTATGATATTGGAGTCTGAAAATTTTGATCTCTAGAGTTTTCCGGGATATTTATAAATGTGATAAGAAACTTGAAGAATAAGAAACCTTCATTTGGGAATAGAAATTTCTTAGGAATAGGATTGTGAAACATCATATCTTTTTTGAATATAAAATCCCTTTAGGAATAGGATTGTGAAACTTGAGGAATAAGAAACCTTCATCGCATCCCTTCGTCGTTGGCTTATGAAATCAACCAGTACTTGAAAAGGAAAATACAGGGCAGATTTGGTTTATAGGGGTTAAGTTGGATATGAAAAGCTTTTGATAGGGTCATTTGAGACTTCTTGCTTGCTATAATTACAAATTTGGGCTTTACTGGTGTTGGGAAATAATATTTGTGGCCTCAAATCCATGCAGAATTAGTCTTCCACAAAATGTTGTCCACGTCCATGTAACATATTATGTCTCCTCCACGTAGCAGCATTCTCCCTTAATTTTTAGTATAAATAGGCTAAGCTTTGCTTTGTAAAATGCATCAATTTTAATTCATTCAATTCTTTATCTTCTCTCACGTAGAGTATAT